AGGATCCCTTTTATAATTGGATGAGCATTAGTAAAGTCCACAGATGTTAAGAAACCACAAAAATAAACATCCCACATCACTCGTGTTTTTTCCTTATTTACAACAAATTATTTTGCAACATGTAGTAATATCTTATTGAATTATGTTTCTTTGTCTTGTTAGCACAGTTAATTTCCTAATAAGACGAGAATTGAGATGACGATAAATAATATTTACAATCACCTATTTATAATCACTCTACTCAACCTTACTTTAGTAGTCTCACAATTCTCGTTATTTTCATCTTTCTCCAAATCAATAATCATAATATCAGTGTTGTCTTGATTTATTTCATACTGAGCAGGGGACAGTTCCTCTTCTCTAGCATTAAAATTTGAAAATTCTGTAGTGAGCTGACTCATCATGACATCACATCAGAACTCATAAATATTCATAAACTATCTTTGTATATATGTTCCATGCTGTGTTATTAATAATCAGTGTTTGGGTGTCAACACGAGGCATCGTTAGCTCTCTCTCTAACGCAGCAATCCTGCCTGCCTTCATGCTAGCCATCAGCCAGCACTCATTCATAGCACTCCATTTGTGATTCGCTATAATTCCATTTCAATCTTTCTTCAATTTTAAGACTGTAAACAGAAACAGCAATGATTTTCCTACAATCATCAGCCTTGCTGAGATGCTTAGCACTAGCATCTAATTTCTGTAATTGTTTTTTGAGTGTTTGCTCTCTCCCTACCACACCTTTTTGCTCATTATTAAGAGAGACTGTATCTTCATCTTCAGGTGACTCTTCGTTAGAGGCTTCAACATCAAATGACTCTTCACTCATTGAATATACATCAACAGAGTCTTTACTTGTAAGTGATTCAATTTCAAGATAGTCATGTCTTTTTAATATTATCGGTCTTTCCACTCCATTCGGCATGTGTCCTTATTTTTAGCAGGAGAGTTTTCTTCATTATCAGAAATTATCACATGCACAATCTCTTTATTCTCATTGTCTTGTGATAAATTATCTCCTTCAAGGTCTTCAAGATCCCAGATTCTTAGACATTGGGATTTAATTTCCTTTTCAGCTAGTGCAGCACTACTTCATCTTGAACTAATCTCTCTTCTCTTTGTAATGACATTGCAATGTTGTGAGATGAATTACATTCTAATGCTGGGTTGAGTGCTGGGTAGGTTTGTAGGTTTGGATCTCGACCTATATTGATAGGTTCATTATTAATGTATCTTTCTAGAGGAGGAGCAGCCACATGACGATTGATTTCATTGCGATCAACTTTTTTTATGTGATGCGGGATTGTCAGAATTTGCTGGACGAACACGTCCCTTCTTACAACAGATTAATGATGATGATGATGATGATGATGTATCATACTGACTTGATGCTGGGCAAGTAAATGGCTTCACAGCATCATTGCTACTGGAAAAGGAAATGACATTTACCCATCTGAGTACTATTTTGAATTATAGACATCCCATACGCTTTTTATCCAATCAATCAGATTAGGACCAGCTGATGCTGCAGGGGTGGGGCTGACTACCCACGTGCTGTGTGTCATGGCGTTTGAAAAAGACTTCATAAATGAATGGCCGCCACCTTCTCAGCCTCTTAATTCATCACTAGAAGAGCCGTATAAGAAGAAATATAAACTAGAGAAAGACTGTCATTGTTCCTCTGGTAAGACTTGATTTATTTTTCTAAATAATGCATTATAATTATTAGTGTTTTCTCCTGATGAAATACAGTTAGCTTGTAATGAGGATAATATGGACATGAGATCATTGCTAGCAAAATGGTGGAAAAGAAGAGTGCAAGAAAAGAATTCTGAACTGAGTGAAAGAAAAGGGAGCCCCAGGACTTTACTTAATCACATACTCAAGTACAGGATTTGCTTGTTTAATTTTCAAAATCTTTATGCAGGCTGCCATCGGCCAAGCAGTTCCTAAAGTTATGTATTGATCACCTTCGAAAAGATATCGATAGGAATAGAAGGGAACTAGCTCTTTGCTGGTATTTACTTGGTGACACTAATGAAGCAATGAACCACATGCAGCATTACCTTGCTCATACTGATCATCAGTCTGTTAACAATGATGCAAAATGGACAGCAAAACTGATAGAGAAACAACACAATGTCTTACAAGGTCAAGAGAAATTATTATTGGCTCTAAAAGAAAGGCACTTAACACGTTATGAATTACCACCAACAAATAAGGTAATTGAATTTTTTTAAATTAGATTTTATTCATTTAAAGGTTGAGAGAAGAGATGCCTCTGATCTCAGTGTTAATGAGTTTTTCCATCATTATGCAATGAGCCACACCCCACTGATAATTACTGGCCTAAAAACAACAACTGTTAAATGGGACCTTGAACATATGTGACCATAATTGACAAAAGGGCCCTTATGGTGGATTTTAAAATTGATCGTTATAATGGAAAATATAGTACTTTGTTAGACAATCATTGTTTCTAAAAGTTTCATGGTAACTTTTTGCATCCTGTTGAGTAATTTTATGATAAATGGGGCTCAGGAAGTTGGATTTTTTAGGCTAGAAAGACAAATTTCACTACCCGCCATAAGGTACCTTTTGTCAATTATGGTCACATATTAAAAAAGTAATATTATTATAGTTTTAGTTTGTATTGTTTCTTAGGCTGTTGGTCATAAGGTAGCTCCATTACGTAAGTCAGTCTCTGATAGTGTTGAATGGGCAAAACTTGAATCATGTGGCCAATCAACAGTATCAGATTTTATTGAAGCTGTTAAAAGAAAGGAAAGTTAGGCAATGATATATTTGTTATAAATAATTGTTTTTGACTCTCAAAACAGGGGATAAAAGATATTTATTTGATTGGAGTATCCCTTTGTATTGTT